TGTTCTCCCCACTTCCCCAAGCCTCCAGACAAAAGTCCAGCCTGGCCAACACTGGATTGTAGCCTTGTAGTATCCTGAGCTGAGAGCCCAGTGAAACCCACCTGAAACTCTGACCATAGAACTGTGAAATTATAAATGGGTGATGTTTTAAGAGGCTAAGTTTGTGGGAATTTGTTATTTGAATAGAAAACCAATACAGACTTACTGATGTATTTATGCATGGAATGCTGTGATGAGGGACTTGTATCAAAATATCTATTGGTGTGGGTGAGGGTTGGGAATACATAAAGTTTAACTCACCATGGACTGGTAATTGGTTGAGGCTGTTAGGTCATGGAGGTTTATGACACTATTCTATCTCTGTGTAATTTAAACGTTCCAGAACAAAAAAGCTTGGAAAAGTTTGGAAAGTGTGCCTGAGACAGGGACAATAGTTGAAAATGGGTTCCACAACTCTAGGAAAGTCTTTACCAATTTTACATCACCAATAGGGTAAGGCAAGAGGAGAGTCTGGGGAGCAGTGAGTAATTTCTGCATCTGTTCTAAAGGAGAGGGATGACATAATCGATAGACAGTTTCCATTTAGGGTAAATGAAGACTCCTGCCAACAGATGTGCAAAGATCGTGAATATTCCCATGCCTAGGTATGGGCTGAAGGCAAAGGAAGCAGGCGTGAGATTATCTTAGATCCTGTACACAGGCTTTCCTGAGAGGTAATAGTAAGTGACTATAGTCTACTTACTGTAGGTTGTGGGAAACCAAATGATCTCTGAAACAGTGCTTTTGTTCTCTTCAGACCCAAAAATGAAAGATCTGTAGTGGGGCCTCCCTGGTGGTACAAAGAGTTAGGTCTCAGCACAAAGAAGCTATCAGCAGCCACTGCAGCACAAGTTCCATCCCTGGCCAGGAAGCTGACCAGACCTTTCCCATCTTGCCCACTGCTCCCATCAGCAGTGTATTTCAGTCGGTTTTCCTGTTCTGCTCCCCACTCTGTCTCTGGTGAATACTCTCACTCCCTACCCCCTCACCTCTGGCCTGTACCCCAGCTCTTGTATGCATAAATAAATAATGTAAATCTTAAAAAGAAAAAAAACTCTGCAGTGATGGGAATATCTGAGTGATCCAAAGATGATAATAGGTTCTACTTGATAGATTTGCCCTTTCCCCATTATTTTCTCATTGATTCCACCTTGGAGGGATCTGAAACCTTCTTAAGTTTCTGGGAATGGGGGGAGCAGTAGGAAAGATGAGCTGGAAAGAATACAATTTTCACCTAGCTCTGACTCTACCCTACATGGGAGGAGGAGAGGTGATTTAATACCAAAACAAGTGTGGTGTGTAATTATTACACATGACTGACTTTCAAACTGTTAGATGGAGACTGTTTTCATGGTTATAGTGGTTGTAATATTGTCATTATAGGAGAGGACCATAAATATGTCTATAATACTTCCCAGAATAAATTGATGGGGCTCTGGGCTAGAAGGTGGAGCAGTGCTCTCAATCATGTCCTCCTGGGTTCTGTAAACTGAATGATGCTATGATGCAGAAACATGCATGTGCCAAGACATGGTGATCATCATGGTAGTGGAGAGCTGAGACTTTGTACTCAGAGCACAAACATCAGCATCTTTCCTTGTGTCCTTATTATCAGTCCCTCTTTATCTAACTTGGACTGTTGAAATAGCTTTACAGTTGCTCCCTTTGTTGCAAGACAGTCATACTCTCTCATAATGTGTTTTTTCAAACCACACCCAAATGGTATTTCTAGGACTTAATGTTGATGATATAACTTCTGTTTTTAGTGAAATTAGCTTGAGGATTAGCTCTTTGTAATCCTCAAGATGACATCCAAACACCAAAGCAAGCATTTTATCCCTTTCAGATCTGTTCTCTAACTCTTCTTGGTTTCCTCTTTTATTTAACCCGAAGACTGACTAAACCACTTGTGATTTAGAAAATGTCTCAATCCTTGAACATGGTGAAAATGATTGAATAAAATGAGAAAAATAGGTTCCAAATTTTCCTTTCTGATAGTCTTAGATTTTTGTATATTGGTCAGATTCATTTTTAAAAATAGGGACACATACTCTGAGTTCCTTGAAGTTAAAAGCTATACCAGATTTTGTTCACTGCTGTATTCTCAGGCTTAAGCTCCCTTTAGAGAGAGAGAGAGAGAGAGAGAGAGAGAGAGAGAGAGAGAGAGAGAGAGAATGAGAATGCACATGTGAGCCCTGGGTCCTTATTCTGTGCACTCATTCTTCATGGTTTCAGGACTAGTGGAATATATATTATAGATGAGTTTACAGTGTATTGTATTCAAAATAACACAAATAGGATGTGGTTTTCTTTTCAAAGTTAAAGTGCATGGTTACTTTGTTTTTCTGTGATTTTCTTTACTTATTGAAATCTGAGTTCTAGTGAAAAAATATTGTTCATTAAAAAATATTTAGATTTTGGGGCCTCCCTGGTGGCACAAGGGGTTAAGACGCAACCTTTGATGCTATCCGCAGCTACTGCAGCACGAATTCAATCCCTGGCCAGGGAGCAACCCACGTGGTGCAGCAGACCTTTCCTGACTTGCCCTCTGCTCCCCTCAGCAGTGTATTTCAGTCGTTCTTCCTGTTCTGTCCCCCACTCTGTCTCTGGTGAATCCTTCACCCCCCACACCTCTGGCCTGTACCCCAGTTCTTGTATGCATAAATAAATGAATCTTTAAAAATATTTGGATTTATTTGCTTAGTTTCATTTTTCTGCAGGCAGGGTTAAGAAATGAAAATCCCATTCATTGCTTGGTTCTTAATTTTCTATGTAATATATGTATGTGTCTTAAGGCTCACACATGTACAATAAAAGCAATGAGCTTAATTATTTTAGAAGATTTTTGTACCTAAAACAAGCAATACAAATAGAAATTATTTAAAGTCTTGAGTTTTTAGTATATTTCAGATACTAGAAATGTTTCCCTTTTTAAAAAGATTTATTTATTTATGCATACAAGAACTGAGGTACAGGTCAGAGGTGTGGGAGGTGAGAAAATTCACCAGCGATAGAATGGGGAACAGAACAGGCAGAACAACTGAAATACACTGCTGAGAAGAGCAGTGGGCAAGTGAAGAGAGGTCTGCTGAGCCATGTGGATAGTTCCCTGGCTAGGATTTGAACTCCTGCTGCAGTGGATGCAGATAGCTTCATAGGTCGTGTCTTAATCCCTTGCGCCACCAGGGAGGCCCCATGTTTCCTGATTTTAGTCTCAATTATTTAAAAAGTGGTATTGTTTCCTCTTGGAGATAAGGAAACTGTAGTTGAAGTCAGAGGTTCTTTGTTACTTAATTTTTTCATGGCTACTAGGTCAAAAGAAATGCTGAATAGTTTCATATAATAAGTAGTTATTTGTCAATACAACTTAAGTGTCCATGTCCTAAACACTTAGTAACTGTTTGAAAAAATATACATAAATGGAAATGAAAATAATATATTTATTTCAGTTTCTTAAATAACATCAATTAGTTACTAATGGTGTATGTATTTCTACTGGGTATTTCCCAACTTCTCAAATCATAGAATCCGACTGAATTCACAAATCTCATTTCTTGTTCTACATGCTCCTTTATTTTGGATTATTTTTTTGTTTTAAATTGTAGCATACAGAGTCCAGCTTCAGAAAAATTAGTCATTGAAAGGAATGTAGTGTGATATATATTGCAATTGCGAAGTAGTTTCCCAGATTCTGACAGATGTCAAATATCACTGTGCTTCCCTCAGGAAATAAAATATCCTGTGGTACCCCTTTTAGGTCACTACAAAGCCCCAATAGAGTTGGAACTGCAGAGCTGACTTGCTCATGATCAAATAAGCAGAAATGGATACAGTTGAGATTCAAACCCAATTTCCTGTGCACCAAAACCAGAGTTGGGGATTATACTTTCTTGTGTTCACATAAAGAGGCAAAAGAGTGCCAGGGTCTGTAGATAGGCATAGCAAGAATGTTGGGGAGACTTCATGAACATTGTTCCTTGTAATTAATATTAAATCTTTCTAGTTACTAATCTAGTTACTAAAACCTTTATTAATGGTGGAATCTATGAGAAAGTATAAAAGCAAAAAATCCCCTACTTTTAAAAGTTTAGTTGAGAAAAGAGCATATGTATTAAAAATTTAGCTAAAACAATTCGGCACTGACAAGCTAAAATCTTTCTATTCTTCTTAGGGAAACATTTCAACTATACTTTTGCTTTCAGGAAAGTAATGTTTATCCCCACAACAAAATGTCTCAGTTTAACTAAACATTGGATTTTTAACAACTACTTTGATTTTTCTGTGTGGTTATTGTATTTCAGTTGTTATTTAAAAAAAAAATCCATGTTTGTTTTATAAATATACATTTCATTATCTCATGTATTTATTCATTTTTATGTTACTGTATAGAATACTTTTAAGAAAAAATTGAAAAAAAATAGTTTTTCTAAGTATGATTGCTATATTTTTATAGTATTAGTTTTTGCTCAAGTAAAAGTAGTTATAATAATTATAAAAACAGATATACATATGAATCGAGTAGAACTGATAGTCCAGCAATAGCCCCACAATTATATGGATAGCTAATTTCTGACAAAGGAGCCAAGAGAGAACAATGGATAAAGCAAAGCCTTTTCAATAAATGATGCTGGGAAAAATGGACAACTACATGCAAAAGAATGATACTAGACAACTATACTTCACCATATAACAGTGTTTTTTCTTTTTCCTTTGCTATTTTTAATATTTTTTTTTAATTGAAGTAACATAGGCTTACATTACTGTTGGTATTTTGGAAATACAGAATCTCTCCCTTAAGTATCACCACAGTAGTGCACTCTTCACCAAATCACCACCATATCCTTTGTATTCCCCTTCCGTATTGTTCTTACCCCTCCCCTATCCACTTTCCAATCTGCATGATTCAGTTTTGTTGTCAGTTCTCAATGGCTAGTTGTTAAACTTGTCTTTATCTGATCCTTAGTTATATGGAATACTTCAGGAATTTGTGTAGTATCTTTGCCCAGAAGCTATGCTTATCTTCTCTGTCTCATTCCAGTTTCAGTATATATGTTGCCAAAGCAAGCACCATTCATAAAAATTAAAGATGAATCAGAGACTTGAATATAACATCTGAAACCATAAAACACAAAAAAGAAAATATAGATGATAAACTCTTTATCACTAACCTAATACTGTCTTTGTAGATTTGTCTTGAATGGCAAGGTCAACAAAAGCAAAAATAAATAAATAGAACTGAATTAAACCACAAAGCATATGAAAGAAACATTGATAAAACAAAAAGGTAACATATTGAATGACAGAAGATATTTGCCATCTATATTTCAGATATAGGATTAATATCCAAAATATATAAACAACTTGTAAACTCAAAGACAAAATCACAAACAACCTAACTGAAAATGGGCAGAGGATTTCAATAGGCACTTCCCCAGGGAAGACTGTACAAGGACAACAGACACATGAGAGGATGATTTCATTGCTTATCATTTGGGAAATATAAATTAACACCACAATGAGATTTTACCTTACATTTGCTAGAATGGATATTACCAAATAAAGATAAGAAAAACTAAGTGTTGGAGAGGATGTGGAGAAATAGATACATTTGTACACTGTTGGTGGCAATGTAAGTTGGTATAACCAATATGGAAAGCAGTATTGAGGATCCTCAAAAAATTAACAATAAAGCTTCCATATGATCAAACAATTTCATTTCTGTATTTTTCCAAAAAATATGCAAACACTAACTCATAAATATATATGGACACTTATGTTCATTGCAGTGTTATTTATGATAGCCAAGGTATGGAAACCACATAAGTACTCATGGATAGATGTTTGGATAAAGAAGATGATTGGATAAAGAAGATATACACACACATTGCATATATATTAGCTATAAAAAAAGATGGAATTTTGCCATTTGTAGAAACATGGATGGAACTTGAGGTAATTAAGTAAAACAAGTCAGAAAGAAAAAGATACATGTCAAATTCTGGATGATTTTACTAATAGATGGATTATAAATAAACCAAAAAAAACCCAAGCCAGAACAAAGCCAATACAAACTCCTATTATTCTGACAACAGAGCAAGAGTGGTTAACAAAGGAGAAGAGGGTGGGGGTGGTTGGAACAGGGAGAGAGGTTGATTGATTGGTGGTGGATAGCTAGACCTTTGGTTCTGGGCATGGTGTAATGGATACATTGTCAAGGTATGAAGCTAATACTCCTGAAAACTTCTACAGTGTAAAGCAATGTTGCCTCTAAAACAACAACAAAATCAGAAAAATGTTGATCCACTGCCAGTGTCCTGTACAATTTTCTTTTAATCAAACTATTTTTCAAAGAGTGTTATTATTAAAATATGGTTATGAATTCAACAAGTTTTATATTTCCCTGCTTCATCCAATTGAAATGTTTAATGTATTCTTTTTATAATGTAATGGATCAATATTTTCTAAGTAACTTTTCTAATATATTCATTTAAAATGAAATTGTTTATATAAGAGGAATAAAATGTACTCCTTTACAAATTGATTCTTCACAGTATCTAAGTGCGAAGCCAAACACTGTACAAACAAATTTGAGAGCCAGGAGTTTAAACAACCATTAAAGAATGTTGAGGATCATTTTTCCTTCCAATACTGAGAATTGCAATCTCAATATTTACAAACATGCAAAGAAAGTCTCAGTATTGTGCCAAGGGCAAAGACTTACTTGTAGGAATTAAAACTGAATAAGTTGCACAGTGTATGAAAGGTCTCAAACTGTGTTTATTAACAGCATCTACGGATAGAAGTGAGACTATGTATTTGTGTGTTGTAGTTACTCACCGACTGCTACCTTTGTGCCTACTCACATGACTGGTCACTGGTGCTGGTAAGGGTTAACAACTAGGAAGAAACTGGGGTGGTGGGGCACTGAAGCATGAACTCCAGTGAGCATCAAGGATTCAACCTTTCTACTGATACTGATACCTGAGTTTTGTGGTAAAAATCCACAATGATTCCACTCCCCTATGTCCATACTAATCAACCTCCAGGCTCTGTTTAAGCCCTAGATGTAGTGCTAGGTGAGGCCTATAGTTGACATAGGACCACAAGCCTGGAATTGTACTCTGATTTTTGAATATGGAGACTAACCTGGGGTGCTTGCTTTCTTATCCATGTGCTTAAACACTGACTAGTGAGAATATTCAGTTGTCCAGGTTTTAACATTGGGTGGAGGTAAGGCAGGTGTTAAATATCATAGCTTCAGGTTGCATGTATTAATAGTAGCCTCACCTACAGGTAGATATATATAGCTGGTCCAATATGGTTGTCTTGGCTATTGCAACTCTAACTGTTCTAGACTAGAAACCGCAGGCTCTAGCTAGTATTCATCATTCTGCACCCTTATGAGTCTAGTTCTCTGGAAATGAAACTTCTGATGCATATCAACTCTGTGTACTCCCTTCTCCAGTGCAGTGAGCAACTGCAAAATCTCTGATGTGGGTATGTGTTCCTGAGCTAACAACAGCCCAGAGATTCCATGCAGCAGTTCTCTTTACCCCCCAGGGGTTGCACTAACTCTTATCTGCTGCAAACACAATTTAATTAGTTTTTCCTGTATCTTTCTGCTGCACTATATTTTTGTTATTGTTTCTGATTTTTATGAATGTGGTAATGGTCTGCTTATTTTTCAGGTATTCAGGACTTTGCTCTGTTGTAATTTAGTTGTGAATACAGGTCTTCACTCTGTAGCCATCTTGCCAGTTTCTAAGCTCTTGCCTATTTAAATGGATTATTTACCAAAAAGAAAAAGGACTGAAGTAGCTAGAAAAAAAATGAAGTAGGTGAAAGAATTTTATATTGACCAATTTGAGAAAAGATGGCATTTTTCACTAAAATAAAAAAAATACATAAAAATGATTACTGTCACTTAATGGGTTAAACAATTCTCAAAATTCAATGCAAAAAATAAGAAAAATAAATTGAAATGAACTTAGTAAATTCAATGCATGAAATTATAAAATAAAACTTTGATATTAACCCTAATTACAATATAAATGAAAAACTAAATAACATATCTATTTAGGTAAGATTTGGTAAGGTGGATGGGAAATCAGACAAATCCATACTAAATTTCATGCCTATTATCTGGAATACAGATAAAATGACTTCAAAATATCATTAAACTTTCTCCATTTGCAAGACTGTTTATCACATTTTGTTTTGTTGTTATATATGCTGTGACAAAAATGTTCCCCATAATAAAACCATAATAATTTCATTTATTTTATCTTTCAGTCTGTTGTCCAATTAAATACACCAAAATTTAACCTTAGAATTTTGTAAATAACTACTACGAGTTATCAAATTACAACCTGTTTTTCTGATTCTTGGCAATTATCTTCTTTGCATGTATCTTCCCCACCTTCCCTATCAATGGTGGGTCCCCCAAACAGCTGCACCTCACATCAGTGCCAGTGTTTGTACTTGCTCTAGTAGAAGTTACTCTTATTTATTTTTTAAAACAAACCCTTACATCACTTGCTACAAACTATATAATGATCTTAATCTTCATCAATATTAACTCATTAAACTAACTGATAAGATTTCTTTCTGTTATTTTTAATAGCAATTTTAAAATCTCAGTGCATTAACACAATTCCAAAAACAGCTGATTTGATTTTCCAGTTTCCTTCCTTCCTCACTACCCATCAGATATGATACAGTGGACTGAGAGTTTCTGCATTTTATCATCCCCTGGTGAGTATCAGGGTGTAGGCGGTGTAGTGAGTCTGTGAACACACAGCATGTTAACTTTGAGGAGTTTGAAAGTGCTGCTCTGCCATTTACAATGACAATGTCCCACTGCTTCTTCCTCATGGATTATCTGATCACGTTGTTCCTGCACACGGTCACAACCCAGGGTGAACAACCACTAGTGATGGGGAAACTCTGTTGTTGTGGCAGAAGAGTTGAAGAATTGCCATGTTCAAAATCCAGAAAGGAGATGTTTCAGAGTAACAGCACCCAATTTGAAATGGAAGGTAGGCCAGCAAGGAGTCACATTCAAGATAGTCAGCTGGTGTAGACAGGCAGTGATGTTGTCAGTCAGCTGGGCAGGCAAGATGAGGAAGTCAAACTGAGAGAAAAGCATGAAAGCAGATTGATAGGTGCTCGTGCCTCCATGAGTTCCAGTTCTAATCCCTCTTCTCAAATCATAGTTAACCTCCCTTGTCCCTGATTTCTTTCTTGCCTCCTCCTCTGAACATTTGCCTGCTACTTGTCCTATTTCCTTAGCAATTCTGTTTTGTGATAGTTCAAATTAAATAAGTTAATTTATTAAGCAACATCTGTGGTTGTTAATAGCTCAAAATCTTTCCCCTTCTGGAATGTGTATGTAATACACACACACATACACAAACACACATACACGCATATGCCACATTTAAAGAATTGCAGTCTCTTTGTGTTGGGCAGGGTGCCCAGGCAGGAAGTAAAATATTTTAAGAGGAAGGGTTTGCTTTTATTCAGAGAAAGCTCACACTGTGTTGATTGGTATTGAGAGGTACTTGTCTTATGCTAGCGGTTGAGCAGTGACTGGGAAGAAGTGGCAGTGATAAAGGAGGGAAAGGAATGCCACTGGGAAATATAGTAGATGTGGATCAAACTTTTCTGGCCAAGCAGAGTTTCTGCAGGTTTATTGATTTTCTTTTTGAAATACAATTTGAAAGGTTTCTCTCAAGTTTTTGAGAGTGGGAACATTTTTAAGCAAGGCTGTGACAAAGACATGTTTATGGTTGACGTTGTGTCATTTCTCAGTTTATGCTATCTGTTTGGGGAATATGTTTATATCCTTCTTAGTGCTGGCATTTACCAAGCAAAGATGCCACTGGAAAGGGTGATTTATTTTTTGCACTGTTATGATTTGAATGACTTTCAGGTTACCAGAAGCTTTTGAAATTAGAACTCATGATTTTAAGATTAATAACAGTAATTACAGAGCTTGGTTACAGCAGAAAAATCTGTAGCTTTTTTTGTGAGATTGAATATAAAAAGTTCCTGGTCCAAGGGAAT